AAAAATAGTTCATGTGGCTCCCGAGGTGAAGAGACGTGAGTTACATATGTTTCACGAGGCCCTGGGCTCAAAACTAGCGTGAGTTAAATACAACTCACAGGGCAGTTAATGTGTTAAACTCAGGCTGCATTACAGTACAGAGTGGACATGGCTTACTTGAAATCATATATACCTGCTAGACTGGGTGAGAAAGAGAATAAGATGAGGTGCAGATGATTATGTCTACTATTACTTTCAAGAACCTGTACTCAGATAAGCTTGAGATTGAAAACATCCCTCCATCTCACTTTTTAAGAAACTGTTCATCACAGTGTGTGTGACTCTAGTTTTAAAAATACATACTTTTGTGTAACATGGCCTCTAAACTCATGTCCCATTTTATCTGGTTGCTTTACCAAGGAAATAATAAATTCTTATATCCCTGGATAAAGTACTAGCTATGCTAGGTTTATTATACTGTGCTATGATATGATTGTTTACCACTGACTTTATGCAATTTTCACCTTACATGCTGAGTTGAGAATCTAACTTGTGAGGAAAACTGACACTCCTTCATAATGCTTTTGAGGTAAAATTCTTATTCTAGTTGTTAATAGTATGATTACATATTTCAAATTGACCATTCATTATTTCTTTGCCTTCTTTAGGACTTACGCATATTATTGAAACTCGAAAAGTTCTTGATTTAAGGATAAACTTGAAGCCTTCTTATCTAGTAGTTCCACAGACAGGTTTCCACCACGAAAAGTCAAACCTGCTGATCTTAGATTTTGGTACATTTCGGGTAGGTATATATGCATTTTTTCCTCAAAGTTCACTTAAACTAAACCTAGATTTACTTTTTCTTAGCTTTTTTCCAAGCCTAGCTTAGAGTATTTTATATATATTTTATGACTATTAAAACAAACCAAAAAAACCCCCAAATTTTCTATAGTGGTAGGTGATTTGACATTGAGGACTGGATTACTTCCATCTTCTCTAAATTAGAGAAAGGGATTCCTAGTTTTCATGGTTTCCAGAGTTTAATTATACAGTATTATCTGCTGCTTATATATTTCGACAATAGGAAATTGTGCACATACGAATGTATATTTGTTAAAGCACTGTTAGTAACTAAGTAGAGTAAGAGAACTTCTAGATTTTCGCAGAAATCTAAG